TTTTATCGTATCAATTGATTAGGTCAAACTGTTACACTATTTACTTATACAATAAATCGACTAGGTAAATTCGACTAGGTTTTTATTCCTACCACAATTATGTCGCCACTGTCAACGCGGAGTTCACGGCTACGGGACCAGGAGCCTTAACCTGAAGAATGTGACATATTTGAGAAGTTGTAAAAAGAAATGGATTACATTGATAAAATAATATCGATAAAATATTGATAAAAGCTAGATTTTACAAGTCATTCATTTTACAAGTGTTTCTGACTAAATTAAAAATTTTAAAAATTAAAATTATAATTAACAGGACAAAAATTTAGTAAATTTTTAATTTTTAATTCAGAAATGCTCTTGCACATATATCATTCTGTAGGATCTGCTCAAATAAATCTAGCAAATGTATATGTCATTAAATTACCCACGACGATGTTGCGAAGATTATCATCAACCAGCTGATGATCGACGGCACAGCTGTAAATAACATGGTGTTTTTTCTGCCAATGATATTCACCATAAATGCACAGGCAACAGAACCCACAGCTCCACCGAGTGTAAGTAAAGCTGCTACCCAAGAGGCTTCTTCCATGGTTAAATGTACAGGATATTCGGTGTAATTACCTTGTATTAGTACAGGCAAGGATGGCGATGCCCAACCAAAAAATTGGCCGATCGACAGCATACCCAGGTTTCCTTATAAAATAGCACATTTGAAGAGGATTGATATATTTTTTGATAACATTATTTTTATACATAAAAACAATTTTTTATAAGTTTTAATTTTTATATAATATTTTGCATAAATATCTAGAATTACACCGATTGAAGTATCATAGTAAAATTGCATAGTAAAGTTACATTTCGATTTCCTACACAATTGTAATTATGATGACCGAGATGATATAATGCGTGAACAATATGTTGCCAAAGTATAAAAAATTAATATTCATTTATAAACATACCGAACTGCAATGGATTATGTAAATTTAGTATGGAAAACAGCTTAATCATCTTAAACTGTTGGTTTAAATATAGGTTAAGACAAGAGTATCGATATTTAATTAAACAATGCATTTCGCATTCTTAATATCTCAATTATATACATATGTGTGTGTGTGTGTGTGTATATATATATATATATATATATATATATACCTGCGACAGCAGCAAGATATACTTTCTTCATATTTACGATACGACCAATTCCATGTATGAACGTTAAATGATCGGTCCAGTAATCAAGAGCAATTCATGCGATTACATCTAGATGAAAAAGATTTAGATAACGTCATATCAGTTTATCTATGACATTCCAAATCTTTGTATGAATTTATTGTTCTCAAATCAATGAACGTGAAAACTTTTAATAAATTTTTTCGAATATCTCTTATCACGTGAATTTTATATAATAAATATCTTCTAATATATGTTACGATATATATTCTATTCTAGCTCGTTTAGCTAGTCTAGCTATATTATCCTTGTTACATTACCAAAGGACGCTCATCAAGTTATCTTCCATCTCTCTCTTTAATCGCCGTGCCGCAGATTGCCGCTTACCGGCGGAGCGCGCATCTCTGTGAGCTCCCTTTGACGAAATGGTGCCATCATTCTCATCCCCCAGCTAATTAGATACGTTCCTTTAATTTGCACTTTTTTTAGACTTGTATTATGGACGTATTCAAGACAAATGTTTTATCGTTACGATTTTATAATTATAATTATTTTAAAAAATTATTTAAGAATAACACATTTTTAAATCTATTTATTTATATTTATTTACAATTATATATTAGAACAAAGATTACATCATCAACTACTTATACCGATTATTGTAGGTTTTTTTAAATAATGTAACAAAAGTAATTCTTTTATTAAGGCTGCTTAGAATTAATAGACAGAAAAAGAAAATTTATTAATTAGATATATAGATGCTAGTAAATCCTTAATCCAGAGATTTTTATTTATATTTAGAATTATACATACTTATTTACATTAAAAATCTATGTACAACGAAACGATGTAAATTGAACTTTACGCCTGCAAAACCGGTCTTTCATGTTTGCCTTCTAATGAGTCATTAACAGATGCATAACCAGTACCACCCTACAAAATATTAGATATGGACATTATTTTTGGCTTATCAACATATATATTAATTTAAAATAATATTATATCTGTACTAGTTACCCTTTGTAAAGGAATGATATCTTGCGGCGTCAATTTGGAATTATCCAAAGGATTGATCCAGTCTATTTTTATCAACTTTTCCACACATTCCATAGTGATCACATCACCGCTATAAAAAAACATAAAATATTTAATTATTCCATATAACAACCAAGTTACAAATTATTCATAGAAAAAACCATTTCTTTACGTTGTTTTTATCACTGCAGAAGGAACACTGTTGCCCAAGACATCATGTGTAATAGGACACATGTATCTTGCTTGTTTAACAATAAGTGACCTTTTGTCATCAGGATCCTGAACTTGTGTGAATTTTATAGGAATCAGGTCCTTCACTTTCAATGGGTTACCACTGATAGGGCAGTAGATCGTTTTATCAGGTTTTTTTAGGGCAGATTCCTTTGCTTCTGGTGTCTTAGAAGGTATCCAAAAACTTGGCAGTACTTTATCTTTGCCATTTGTCATATTAGATACTGAAGCTCGATCTGTTGCATTAGGACCCTTTGATACAATAGTTTTTTCACTGTTTAAGAAATCCTGAAGCTTCTTCAATTCTTCATTAGCAGTTTGCTCTTGTGATTGCTCCTGTAACAAACACAGTAACAGTGTAAACATTGCGTAATATATTGATCGTTTAAATTTGCCAATAAGTTTACAATTTGCTTACTTCTTCCTTTCGCTTCTGCTTTTCATATTCCTTCAGTTTTCTTGTGTATTCCTTCTTCTTGGTCAAAACGTACTCCAATATTGCTTCTTTGTCAAATAGATAGCCATCTTTTCTACAATAACATAAGTTGTGAACCGTATATTCATATAAAAAAATATACAAAAATAGCTTATTTCGTAAAATACTTACGTTACTACTGGATTTCTGCAAGGCTGTAGAGTCAAACAACAGCAATCGAAATCCTTTACAGAGTCCTTACCCACTCTTTGAGTGTTTGTGCCATAACCTGACGCCGCAGCATCCTTCTTTTTCTCGTGATATGTATACACAGCACCTGCAGTACAATTCCTCGCGTGCCGCGTCATTGTATTGACACAAATGCTTTTCCTTTAAAACAATATTATTCGTTTTCTTCGAAAATATTATTTTCTTGCTAAGTAAACTTATTTATACAGTAACGCGTTCTAGCTTCTGTCAGCTTCGTAATAGGTCTGTTCTTTATAGCTGAACTGGCTGCACTAGTTCAGTGTTTATCTTTCTTCTTCTAATGTAGAGGGAAAAAGATAAACTCTGAACTAGTGCAGCCAGTTCAGCTATAAAGAACAGACCTTTAATATATACCACGGCATCACCTAACTTAACCTAATCTTAACTTAAGGCGATTTCAAGATAGCAGTCAAATCATGAAAAATCCATACCTCGTATTGGTCGGTACAAATATTGACATTGCTGTAATTAATCAGATTCGTGGGCCGGTATTCATAGTCCGTTCTTATATTCGAGATCGTCTTAAGCACGGACTTATATTCGCTCTCTTCGTCACACATAGATTGTGTCTGACGAAGAGAGCGAATATAAGTTCGTGCTTAAGACGATCTTGAATATAAGAACGGACTATTAGCGTTTTCGATTATACAGGATTTGAACGACCCAGGGTTGATCAATCACTATTTTACTATAAATGCAAGTCTTTCATTGGTGGAGAGGTTGCAATGACGTCATTAACCAACCCTGGGTCGTTCAAATCCTGTATAATCGAAAACGCTATATGAATACCGGCAGTGGATTT